TGGCTGTGGCCGACAGGGAAGGCGAGCCCCCGTCCCTCGCGGTCACCCCCACCTCATAGTTCGCCACACTCTCGCGATCCAAGGCGCTGTCCAGCACCAGCGAATAGTAATTTTTGAAGGTGGACACCAGCCTGAACGGAACACTGGGCGACAGGGTGCAAGTCACTTGCCCATTGACACTGGAGTCGAGGTCGGACACACTTATCAAGGCGATGACGGTGCCCAGTGGAGCGTCTTCCCTAATTGGGAGGGACAAGGACTTGAATTCCATTACTGGGACATTATCGTTGGTGTCGCCAACTTCCACCATAACTGTACAATGGCCAGAAAGTGGGGGCTGCCCCTTATCAATGCCCTCTACAAGAATTTCGTAGGATTTGCTTTCTTCAAAATCGATATATCCCTTTACCATAATTTCTCCAGTAATTGGATCTATGTAGAACTTGGATTTCACATTTGGTAAAATATCAGTTGAGAATGAATATGTAATATTCCCATTCAAGCCTTCGTCTAAATCTGAGGCGTTAAGTTTAATTACCAACGTTCCATTAGGAACATTTTCCAGTAATTTCACTTCATAGAGTGTTCTGTCGAAAGCTGGGGCGTTGTCGTTGGCGTCCAGCACTTTGACGAGTAACTGAACGGTGCCAGTTAGCTCAGGTTTGCCGCCATCAGAGGCGGTAAGCACTAAAAAAATCTCCGGGGCTTCTTCTCTGTCTAAAGGTTTCCTTAATACTAACCCAAGACGTTTTACTCGCTCTTCATAGGATGGTTTTTCCAGCGAGAAATACTCACTGGGGCTCAGTGTGTAAGTGAGAAGAGCGTTGGCCCCAATGTCTGCATCGGAGGCGCCCTCTAGTGGAAACCGAGAGTCAAGCGGCCTGGATTCAGCCATAAACAGATTCTTTTGTGTTCCCGGGAACACAGGAGGATTGTCGTTTATGTCCTTCACCTCCACCTCCACATGGAACACCTGCAGCGGCCGGTCCACGATCACCTCCAGGTGGATGCTGCACTCCGCGCTCCGCCCGCACAGCTCCTCCCGGTCGATCCGAGAATTCACAAACAAAATGCCATTCTGCAGRTTTACCTCCAGAAGGTCCCCGCGGCCTTTGGACGCCACCCGGAACAGGCGCGGCACCAGCTCCGCCAGCTCCAGCCCCAGGTCCTGGGCGATGCGGCCCACGAAGGTGCCATGTTTGGCCTCCTCCGGGACGGAGTAGCGGACCTGGCCGCTCCCGACCTTCCAGGTTGCAAGGAACAGAAGTGAGAGCAGCAAACGCCGGTATTCCTGGCCGATTCCCCAGGAAAACTCCATCTCAAGCCCGCAGTGCTTTGTTCTCATGAAGGGGGTCTTGTTTCAAAATGAAGAGATATCTCCTGACCGTTCAGTCCAGTCCCACTGCATCCTCCATTTTTCAGCATCTGGATGGTGGATGCAGCTTCTTTACAGTAAGAATAGGAGGGATTTTTTTTCTTTCTTTCTCGCTCTATCGGATCAATTTTATGGTACAGAGCGACATCATGTGGCTCCAAACCGTAAGTAACAGATTCTGGAAATGCATACTCTAAGTCTTAATTATTCTTTCATCCATTCCGCCTTTGGAGAATAGAATCTCATTTTGTACTACTGGGGTACACATTTTGCACCACTGAGATACACATTTTGCACCACTGATTTATTGTGATCCTTAGTTTCACCACAGGAGCAGCTTTCACTTCAGTGGAAATACTTTTTTCATAGAAGTTTTAAGTATTTACAGAGACCGAACTGTAGTTAACATAGCACTTTGCAAATATACAATTGGTAAAGTGTTGGTTAGGAAATTCATGACAGGTTTTGTGTGTGTGTGTGTTCCTGAGAGTGATGAAAGGTAGTTATTAATGATGACACACTCTTCATCATTGGATTTTACATTCCCGGTGTTGAAGATTTCAGAGAATTAAGCTCTAGGAAAACTCTGATCTCCAAAATAAGTCATTGAAAGAGAATTTCAAAAATGTTTGAAAAAGGAAGCAAAGACCATCAGCACTTAATTGAAAGTCTTCCTTGCTGTGGACAAGGAAGCTTTAACAAGGAAGTAGGATGTTTCGGTATATAATTTGTGTTGGGAAGTATTCCAGATAATTTTATTCAATGGAACCTATTCACCTCCCATGAGCAAGATGGGTATTCTCATTTTGTCTCTTACAGTTTATAAACGCTTGCTTGTTCTCCAGGATCTAATATGCCTCAACTTGTATTCTCTCCTACAGCACTCATATATTTTAGTCAAAGTGGACAATTTCCTGCTTCCAATAACATTTTTCATGAAACAGATATACTCATTTCATTCCCTGCCTAAGTAATATCCATCATTTCCAAACTCTTCTCAAAGCAGTTTCCCCCATTATATAACAAGTTAAAACTTCCTTGACCAACAAAGACTTTCATGATTAAGCCAATTGGGCAGGCATCTTTATTTTCTTTTATACTATAGCATCTAGATAAAATCACTTGGGACATTTATTACATTAATTTCTCTTTTGTAGCTATTTGGGTATGTGTGTCTAATCCTCCATTTTTGAAATATAAACTTTTAAAGAGAATATTTGTGTTATAATTGTTTAATAGCTCAGAATACTTACTGAATATTTGCTGAACATTTACCCTATAGAATGGCCTGGTTTTCTTCAATTGCTTAGTAAAATGCATTAAATTAAGGTGGTCATGCAGCTAGTTAAGAAATATGATATCTCAGCAACCTCTATAATTTTCCAGAGATACAAAAATATTTTCCTTAGACATTGCTCTACTTAAGGTATATTTCAATTTCCATATTGAAAACCTGGATTTTAGCTTAGTTTTCATTCCAGTTCTTGGCAATCATGATCTTTGAGACATTAATAGTTCTAATGGTCAATAAAGAATTCCCAAATAATAGAGCATAATATATTTCCCTGACACACACAAAACAATATAGAAGGACATGATGGTAGCTATTTTAAAACTTTCTTTGACTTTTATGTTCATAAACCTCTTACTCCGTAGTTGTCTAAGACAAAAAAAATCAATCTAGTGAAAATAGCTCTAGGCTCCCATTCTACGAAAAGCCACATTGCCCCCCCCATTTTTTCTGAATTAAAACATAAATCAAAGTAGTTTCACTGTTCCAGTACCCAAACTGCAGATTTGTGCAAAAGGATTAGTATCAAACACACTGAAAGGAAGTGAAAAGGACTCCCTGTCCATTTACTTTATTTTGCAAGTAATTAAATGCATAGATGAGGTATGCGAAAGAATAGAAAGGATATTTATTTGGGAGCTATTCACTATTTACCGGGGATACAGACAACACATCTCTAAAGGGAAAAACTCAAAAGTCTTTAAAATGTCTTATTAGCTGAGAATCATGTTAGTCAAGAAGTTGAAGAGGAGGACTTCCCTGGTTGCACAGTGGTTAAGAATCCGCCTGCCAATTCAGGGACACGGGTTCGGGCCCTGGTCCGGGGAGCAACTAAGCCTGTGCACCACAAATACTGAGGCTGCGCTCTAGAGCCTGTGAGCCACAACTACGAAGCCCACGTGCCACAACTACTGAAGCCCCCATGTCTAGAGCACAGCGTGCTCCGCAACAAGAGAAGCCACCATAATGAGAAGCCTGCACACCGTAACAAAGAGTAGCCCCCACTCGCCGCAACTAGAGAAAGCCCGTGCGCAGCAACAAAGACCCAACGCAGCCAAAAATAAATAAATAAATTAAAAAAATAAAACTATATGCCCATTTGTACTAAAAAAAAAAATTGAAGAGAGGAGCTGGATTTGAAGACTGAAGTCCCACATCCTGGAAGACAAGAACTCTGGATGGCCCTATTATTCACAATAGGATGAAAATAATACCTAATAAAATAAATAGTGAACTGAGGTTAGACATGCTGTGGCTCATACTTGATGGACAGGAGGCCACAAAGGACAGTGCCAGAAAGAGGAAATGGAAGTGGAAAAAAGAAGGATTATGTATTTTATATGTTGGCCTATCCCACAATGTCATTGAGTATTAATCAGGTTTCACCAAGGAAACTTGAACAAGGAAGTAGGAAGTTGTAGTACATAACTTGTGTGGAAAAGTATTCCACACAATTAGAATGGAATACACCGGAGCAAGGTTGGTATCTTCATTTTTGTCTCTAATGGTTTAGAATACTTGCCCATTCTCCAGTCACTAACATACCTAAGCTTTGGTTTCCAGTGGCAAAGAAACTTCAATGGGTGACCAACTTTTTACTAGGGTAACTGACCAAATACCAAATAGGGGAATGAATGGAAAATAATTTCACTTCCAGTTATTTGGAACTTTGTACTTGCTACATGACACACATTAATAGGTTGGTATTCAGAGGAGGGTCACCAGTAATAACATTGACTTATTGAACTTTTTGGACATTAGCATCATTAATACTGCATGTAAAAGAGGTTAATAATAAATAAGTTTTGCTAATTGAATAGTTTTAAAATGAGATATACAGTATTTTTCTCTACACTATTCAGACAGAAAATAATATTTCTTAACAAGATTAATAATATTCTTTCGAAAGCAATATTTTCTAAATTATGATATACTAAAGAGAGTATTAAAATTTCACTTCCTATTGATTTCTTAATGCTTACTAATAAAAAGTAGTGAGAAACAGAAGAGAGAAAATGATACAATTCTAAAAGCAATAAATTTATTATTCTAACTTTTTTTTACCCAATTGGAAAACTAGCAACAATACACAGTATTGCCAAATGTGAGCACAAAAATTTAAAAAATCATGTTCAAGTAGAAAGAAGGAACTGAGAATACAGATAAATGGATAAGTGAGTAAAAGAGGCTCTATAGGAGACAACAGGCTTAATAAACTAATGTTTGAAACTGAATATGTAAAAGCATAATAAAAAGGAAGAGTGTCAGTGACATTTGGACTAACATCCAGTAGGAATTTCCAATAAAAAGTGTCATAAGTTACTGAAGCATTGTGCAGGTATTAGCATACCACAATTTAAGTCAAATATTCTAATCAATTCAATTTACCCTGGAAAATATATTTAGTTTCTATCCAGATTTGTAGCAATAAAATACTTCTACAGCGACTTTTAAAAACCTGCAAGTATGGGTCTTACCATTTATTGCTGATTCGGTTCAAAGACATTAGTCACAAGAAATTCAAACACTTTAACCACAAAACCAATACCTTGAAAACTCTATTGACAGCAACAAGACTAATTAACTATTAAAATGGTTCCAAAGGAGTAGTAACGTTGAGAATTAAAAACAAAGACAGTTTTCAAAGGATTTTTAAAAGTTACTCACCTTAGCAGGAAGATCAACCTTCACATCCGTCTGCTCTTCTCTATCCCCACTAATGGGGCCCGGTGGAAGACAGGGGCTGAAGGCCATGAGGTCTGCCTTGGGCGGCCCCTCCCCAGAGCACACCC